GAACTATACAAAATAATGAAAGCATCGCCATGTGCAGATACCTCCCATAAATATAAAGAATATCAAAATATTTTTAACAATCTAGTTAGAGAAGCAAAACGCCAATTCTATCTAAAAAAATTACAAGATGCCAAATCTGATCCAAGAAAACTGTGGTCAGTTGTCGATCACTTAACTAACAAAGACGTTCAAGAAAAACCAAATATTGATGAAATTAAGAATCATGATGGAACAATATTAACAGATAAACGACAAATATCCGATGCATTCTTAAATTGTTTCACTAATGTTGGAGAAAATTTAGCATCCAGTATTAAAAAAATGGTTTCGAACGAAAAGTTCACAAAAACCCAACTTCCCAATTCATTCTTTTTAGAAAGCGTTAGTCCGATTGAAGTACAAGAAGCTGTCCTATCACTTAAAACCAAAAAAAGTCCTGGTGTAGATGGTATCAAAGCTGAGCATTTAAAAATAATAGCCTACGACTTAGCCGAACCACTTTCTTACGTCATTAATTGGTGTTTCCAATCTGGAATTTGTCCTGATGCATTTAAAACACCTGTTATTACTCCTGTCTATAAAGGCGGTGACAGAATGGAAACATCAAATTATAGACCCATATCAGTACTATCGAATATAGCCAAAATATTCGAAAAATTACTACAAAAAAGGATATTACAATTTTTGGACAAAAACAAAATTATATGTTCTGACCAATATGGATTTAGAAAAGGAAAATCTACTACAGATGCAATTTTGGCTGCAATGGATGAAATTAACTCTAATGTCAACAAAAAGATACCTACTATTGGTATCTTTGTTGATCTAAAAAATGCCTTTGATACGGTTAACCATGTCGAGCTTCTGAAAGTTATGGAAAGATTGGGATTTAGGGGAGCGTCACAAATCCTTTTAAAAAATTACCTTTCAAGTCGGGCACAGACTGTCAAAATCACTAACACATACAGTAAAAAAATGTACATCAAGTGTGGTGTGCCTCTAGGAACAGTACTAGGCCCACTATTATTTAGTCTCTACTTAAATGACTTATTCAATATTAACAGTTCTGGAAAGATTATATGTTTTGCAGATGACACCCTCGTATTATATAAAGCTGATGACTGGAGCACACTGAAGCAAATAGCTGAAAAGGATTTTATAAGGATCATTGACTGGTTTGATACTAAAATTTTAACAGTTAACTTCAAAAAAACAAAATTTATTACATTTACATCCTATTCAAAATTTTTACCTACCTTCGAACAAATTTCCATTAATTATCATGGCCAAAAGACCAAAATCGATAGAGTTAACACTTTGAAATATCTTGGAATATTTATAGACTCACATCTAAGGTGGGATAACCATATTAAATATGTTATCAAAAAAATTAGAAATGTTGCCTATAAACTCAAAATGCTTGCTAACATTCTTACAGAAAGTTATCTGCGAATCCTATACCATGCCTTAGTTGAAACCCATATAATATACGGCATCACAGCCTGGGGTGCCGCCTGCAAGACATATATTTCTGACCTGAATATAGCACAAAAAACTGTTTTGAAATCCATTTTCCATAAGCCAAGATTATATCCAACGAACAACTTATATCAAGAAACAGGGATACTTGATACAAGACAACTTTATTTCTTACATGCCACCACCTTATACCATAAGTATTGTAATAAAAAGAAAAAATCCTATAAACACGAGCATAACACACGATTTCGAATAGGCTCATCTAATATCCAAAGACCACACAAAACATTATTCAAAAAATCATTTAAATTCTTAGCAGTTAAATTATATAATGAAGTACCAAACGAAATAAGGATACTTAATTTTGGAAAAAAATTTAGAAGAAAATTGAGTAATGTGCAGCGAATGACTATACATAATTATATAGAAAACTAAAACTACAAAATTCCAATTACATTAATACCTTTTAGATTTAACAATAATTGTTATACACATATATGATTGATTGTTAGTTATTAAGATATAAACCACACACAGGCGATGCCTTCTGTGGTTTTTTCATATTTATTTGCCCATTTTTTGTATTTTGGCGAATAAATATTATTATTATTATTATTATTATTATTATTATTATTATTATTATTATTATTATTATTATTATTATTATTATTATTATTATTATTATTATTATTATTATTATTATTATTATTATTATTATTATGTTGTCATATATTTTTTCCATATTCTCACCAAAATTCCAATAGCAGCCAGCAAGTTCTCGTTCAAGTTTTTTAATTTTTGTATCAGAAAAATGCCCTACCAAGGGCAGCATTGTACAACTGTGATCGCTAACAAATATTTTTGAAATTTAAAGCAGAATACGGTTAAAGGTCAGTTAGTTGACAGTTAGTTTTGTTGTCTGTTGAAACCTGAAACGTTTTTTTGCAATTGTGAATGCACGAAATTTAGTTTCTTTTACCTGTTTTCTTTTTGTAAGTTTTATAAAAATGCCATTTTTATTCTCCAATCAATTAGCGGATATTCATTTTGTGTATGGCTTTGTAAATGGAAACGCAGCAGAAGCAGCCAGAGAATACGCACGAAGATTTCCAAACAGACGACATCCAACTCGCTCAGTATTTGTAAGAGTGTATCGCCATATAATTGAAAATGGTTTTGGAAATCTCCAAAGGGATCAAAACATAAATGTTCGTCAGCGCAGATTTACCCATATGATTCTGCGTGAGTTTGATAGATATCCGACCACAAGTGTTAGGAGAGTTTCTGGTGCCTTGGGAATTTCAGCAAGCCATGTTCACTGTGTTCTTAGAAATGACCATAGACGTCCTTACCATGTGCAACCTGTGCAAGGACTACAGCGAGGGGACGGAGAACGAAGAATCACATTTTGTCAGTGGATTCTTGATAGAACTGATAATAATAGGGAGTTTTTAAGTAACGTTTTATGGACCGATGAGTCATGCTTCACTAGACGTGGAGTGGTAAATTTTCATAATCAACATATTTGGTCGCATGGAAATCCGCATGCAGTTCGGGAAAGAAATTTTCAGCATGAATTTAGTGTGAACGTGTGGATTGGATTGTAATCGACTATTTCGACCCTACCTTTTGCCTGCAAGGTTAAATGCTGCGACCTTCATGGAATTTTTAAAGGCTGAACATGCAAATATGTGGGATGATGTTATGTTAGATTTAAGAAGATTGGCCTGGTTCCAGCTTGATGGTTGTCCAGCACATTATTCGAGAATAGTTAGAAACTGGCTGGACGAAAATTATCCAGAAAGATGGATCAGCCGTGGAGGACCAGTCGGCTGGCCTCCACGATCCCCTGACCTAAATCCATTAAATTTCTTTGTGTGGTGATTTCTAAAAGAAAAAGTGTACCAGACTCCCGTAACCACAAGAGATATGCTAATAGACAGAATCAGGAATGCATGTGATGAAATAAGGCCTTATTTGAATAATGTTCGATCATTCGTAGATGTGAATTGTGTATTGAACAATTGGGTTTACATTTCGAGCAACTACTTTAGATTTTGTATGTTTGTCCTAACTGTCCAATAGCATTTTAGTTGTAAATAATTAATTTAATTTGTTAAAAATAATATTGGAAAATTAAACAAATTAATATTCTGTTTTTTTTTGTGTTTATTTGGAGTTAGGAATTATTGCTGTGTTTAAAAACACAATCTAAACGATCATCTTAATTACTTGTAATGCCCAAATCAAAAATGTAAAAAAAATTACTTTTCCCACAAATAATTAAAAATGCATCGAACCTTAAAAATCGAAATATCTCAAAAACGGCTAACTATAACGAAAACTCACAGGAGAGCTTTTTTATGCAGAAAAGTGCGAAGAATCAGTTGTTTTATTCAAAAAGCAAAAAATTGCACTAAGAAAAATTTTTCGGCGATTTTAATACACTACAGGTACAGTAGAGAGCGCCCTCTAGCGGCTACAGTAAAACTATGCCCATGGTTCGTTTTGTCGTACCAAAAAACCCTTGTATACCAATTTTCATTGTTATACATCGAAATATTTAAAAAAACTATTTTAAAAAATAAACTTAAACACCCGGTATTTCGGAAGCCACGCAATTTTCGACCCATGTTTACATAGACTTTATGCATTAATTTTAAAAGTTCTATCGAATCTTGAAGTTATGCAACAATAAACTGAAGCACCCTGTATATAGCCTTCCAAAAGGTGTTTCGGAATCTTTTAGTGACTTGATTTAATGCTCATGGCGAGCATTGTGATAAACATGGTCGTATTGTCAATTGAATAATATCCACCTTAGCAGTACGTTCTTTCAATAAGACCACGACATTTGACATTTATGCGCGGATTCCTTAAGGATAAGTACGTTCAAGCCATCCACAGGGGACTGATGACCTGCAGCAAAATAATTTTTAAGTTATTGATGAAATTGATTGTGTCAAAAGGTTACTGAAAATTTTTGACGAATAATGGTCATCTGTAGAAATAGCTGAGGCACACATTTGGGGGACCTTCATGCATAAAACATAACTCGGATACACCTACAATTTGATAATATAATCAAGCATTTATTTTCCAATTATCTCCCAAAATACATAAGTAATATTATCGCTTACGATATTTCTGGTTATGTTTAGAATTTTGCGTAGATAGACATAATTGATGCATTTTTCATTATTAAAGTTGTTATTTATTTCAAGTTTCATGATAATAAAAGATGCTTAAAAACTCATATAAGATTACACAAAAGCTGTTCCCGCGGTTACTTTGATAAATTGGGAAATAGCTTGCAATTATCGTCAATGACCATGCTCAAAACATGACGCTGATGGAGCAATGATTTAAATTGGCATTACTATCTGTATCTGTAAATGTGGTCAACTTCACTGGTCACGCTATATTCTAATGAGCTTTTTGTTGTGCGAATAACTATATCTCTTTATAATAACTCGATTTTGAAATGATGTCGTTGTCTGACTTTTGTGCACTGAACTTACCTAGTTTCAAATCCTTCGGACCATAGGCAATATACGAATCTATGTACAGTTGATCTCCGACATCCAGAATCAGGTCTATATGCTTCGCATTCCAGTTTTCAACTGTCACGAGGTGGTGTAGTACCAAACAAACGATACAATTGGGAATATCCTGATTGTTTCTGGATTCTGGAGAGTACTGCCCGGAGTTCTGACTCCTATAGCCTCTAATGATAGCATCAACGCCTTTCAGGGTATAGTAGCATTTCCTGCCCATAAGTTGACGGCGCTTGTTATCTACCCTCTTTCGCTCATTTTCAGCCTGAAAATTTGAATTTGTAAAAGTACTTAATAAAAAGCGATTTGTTTGGATCCATGTGTCTCAAGTAATCCTGTATAATATCACATAAAATTTTGTACTAAGCATACTTTATTAATTTGTAATTCAACCAGTTCATTACAATCTAACAATTGCTGAAAAGTATTTATCAGAGTTGCCATAAATATTCGGTTATTAGAGGGTAATCGGCTTTTCGGACAATTTCCTTAATATTAGATATTTGGTTGAATAAGTATTGAGAACTGTACTTCCGAATACCGAATACCAAATCAAACATATTACTAAAAAGCTGATTCCGATTGTACTAATAAACCATATTAGCATCTGAAAAGAGCCTCTCATCTTAACCCTATTTCTATAGCCACTTCCTCAAAGCAACTCCAGAAACTGACGTGAATTTCAATGGTTTTGTCCTTTCAATGACCTTCCTTTCTTTAAAAATATACTGCACCGGAGTGAGACAGTGACCTGTTATACGCGAAGTGTGCAATTATATTATATTCAAATCTCAGGTACTTTCCGTAGAAACAAATACCAATGCGGGATTGGGAAAGGCAGATAGAAGGTGCGCTGTGATCTAGTAATCATGTTTGCTTTGACACGAAGTAAATGAGGTTTGCATGGGGTATACAAATCTAGATCGGATATTTGGACGTCGAATATTCGGCGCTCTAGTCAAGAGAGTGTTCCGATATTTGGTGTTAGAGGCAAAATCACACTCAGGCCCTACGAGAGGGGGGGGGCATCGGGTACTTTTCCCACCGGGCCCGCACTTTTCAAGGGGGCCCAGCCACTTTTCCCTTACGTCTGCGTTGCTCTGCGAATATTCTGCACGCTTCCAGTCTCAGTTGCTAGCGCTGAGCCATCATTCAGTGTTTTGTCAAGAATTAAAAATTATCATCGTTCTTGTTCAACGCAGATTCGAGTTTCAGGACTAGCGAATTCATGTTTGGAATCTGAACTAGCACGACAACTAGACTTTGAAGTTCTTATTAAAACATTTGCTTCAGCTAAAGCAAGAAAAGCTAACTTCTGAATAGTTTCTTATACAATAGTATCTTATAATACTAATTCACCGGGTTCGTCGCTTCTTTATGATTATAAAAATGATATTTTTTCTCAAATTTTTTCTTGACCTTCCACTCAATGCTTATCAGGTTAGTGCTTTTATTTTCCCGATTATTTGCACTGTAGAAAGAGTGTAAAACTTTATAGAAACGCGTGCAACATGATATGAACGATATATTTAGCAGAATCAAAAGAAATCGTGAAAATCGTAAAAGAAAGAGGGGCGAGGTAGGGGCCCGCGCTTCGGTTCCCCCTGGCCTGGATTTTCTCTCTGCGGCCCTGATCACACTATTCATGATATTAGCAGATCAGTGATGTAGCTATTAAAATGGTGAATGCGCAAGTACTGCGAAGTGAAGATATGGTGGATGCAGCAGTTGGGTTATCTTCGTTCTGACACGTTTTTTGATGGTCCATACAAATAATAGGTCGGAGAAACAGATTAACTATTTATCTCTCACAGAGCTAATTTTATTAAGTCGTTGATATAGACTAAGAATAGGATGGGACCTAATACTAATTGTAATGGATTCAAATGGCATTCAAATTTCTTTGTAGTATGTCTTGATGAAGAAAATAAACATCAATTTATTCACAATTTATAATTGATGTGGGTAAATATTATTATTATTATTATTATTATCTTCAAAAGTCTGAATAAAACAAATAATAACGTTTTTTCTAGCCTGACTTCATTTTCCGTGGGCAGAGTCAACGGGAGCTTATATTTGTATCATAGACCTTACAGTGCATATCGCGTAATAACAACATTTATACTAGTTGCAGGCATGGCTGATCTCGACTAATAACCATGCTTATACTTACAATTCTTCTCAGTGCCTTCTTCTCCTCATCAGCATGCAATTTTGAGCACCTCGGCAGTACACTGATAGAGCTTCGCGTCTTAGCTCTCTTACGTTTATTGATGGTCCTAACGTTCCCAACAACGATTTCCACAGGGACTATGGTAAATTCTCCCATACGTTTTTCTGGCTCCAAGATGCAAGAAATCACGTGCTCGGCTGCCATCGCTACATTGACGAAGGTTACCAGACAGGCAGTTCCTGTATCGAATAGGTTTTGGTCATTGTATCGAGATTTTTTATGATCATCATTAATGATGTCATTATTGACACATTAGATTTGTCCTAACAAGCAGTTTCGAACTACTTCAATTTATTTTTAGCGTATGTCCGAGGTAAGCACTATTCAGAAATAGTTACACACTATCCGTATGCGATATATGAAATTTGAGAGAATTTATTATCTTTTGACGTATTGTACACCTTTTATGAAAATGGGAAAACGGGAAGGCAGATTTAATAAGGGATGAGTAGCTTGCTAGGATATTTCTAAAAAATAGTACAAAGTTTTGTCTTGTTTAGAGCTGGAAGGATTCATCATTTTGACTGAAGAGCACACTCTGCTACAGTCACGGTGGAGGAAATTAAGAAAAATGTTAACAACACTAAGCTATCAGTTCACTTCAAATGAAAGAAATATACCAAACTGACAATTATTGAATCAAATTAATGAAAGTTATCCACATTGGCGTATGTACTTTTGATTTCTGGTTCTTGGAATATCTATAATCTATAATATACAGTGAAGATAATATACCGCTGACGAATGTGTACGAAAGAAAAGCACGAAACGGGTGCAGTACGTGCGTTATAAAGAGACAGAAGCCCTTCGTTGACTAACAACCCGAATGACTAGCCCACGGACGCCATCGGCGCACTCTTTCAAACATACTTATTGTACACTCCTCGTGTCTCTCGTACACATTATGACGTCAGCCAAATTTGGACCTTACCATATTATAATCAGTGAAATATCTTCATCTTCAATTTAACCAGTTCCAAACTGATCTTCATCGTTATCCATTTTTTGAATGTGTAATGAACGAGACAATAGTAGGTTAGGATTTAGCTTTGATATATGGAAAGATTCACATTCAGTCTGTAAACGCGCATGCGCTAAGAACGAGCTTTTAGTCCTCCTTCAGAACCAGAACTGTTAGAGTCAGTTCAGCATCGGTTCGAGATCAGTACGGTATTTGTTGGAACAGAAAACTGCTAGTTACGGAATCAGTTCCATTTTCCGAGGTGATAATTTCGATCTGCGCATGCCCTGTTCAGTTCAGAACTAGTCAGATGGTTTGTTGGAACAATAGGCGGAATCGCACAGCTACCCTTTGTGTGTGAATCAGTACACTAAACTAGAAAGTCCAAAGCACATAACGTAAGACCGCGGCTCGCACTGTGAACAAAACTACATAGTGCAATACTAGATCTATCTAAATTACATTTTTCCGCACCAATAAACCCTACAAATTTAAAATTTGAATTTTAGTCAACTCCAACCGACGCACTTTTTAGTTTTTCTTCTTCCTTCCATTCTACCTCCCTTTCTTCTTTTTCCATGACTTTGTCTGATATCTGGAGCTTAATTCTTGAATGCAGTAAAATTGAATGCTCCCTGGGGAATACAGACTTTTTGATAGATATTACCAGCTGATAGAAAGGTTTGTGAATGCATCAATTCTTGGCAGAATAATATGTTGAAGCGTTTCATGACAAAATTAAGTTCGTCTTTGGAGAAACTGATGGACGACAAAGGCGAGACTTTAGGAGTCCTTTCTTCCGAGAGCGACTCTTCTATCAGGAGAACAGTACCGCGAAAGGTAAGAGAACCACATACTTTTTCACTCAGTCATTCTGCTCCTTCATTCCAGGAATTGATCCCCTGGGCAACCACACCTAACATGCCTGCTTACCTACAATGCTTAAGCCTAGATGAAATATGAAAACACTTTGGATGCTTGGAAGATCATTTACAGCTCGCAATACTGCATCTTCCAGCATTTTTTTCTCAACTAAACATATATTCTAATGCACATCATTTCTAGATAAAGATGTGCTGAAATAGGTTTTACTCGAATATATCTTTTCAAAGTAAAATAGTTATTCTGATTTTAAAACTCTCAACGTCCAATGAATAGAAGGCATTTTACTATTACACCTACCCTGCTCATGGCTTTCTTATCTTTGTCAGACCTACGTACAAAGACTGGTCACGTCAAAAAATGTCCCAGAACAAGTTTTTTTCGAGGTAACCAGTAGGGGGTATTACGTAACTTGAAGACTAGGATGAAGCTGTCATTCACTTCATGCCCACTTGTAGCAGGTGCGAAATGAACTATTTGCACACTACCAGCTATCTAGTCGACAAGTTGACATATTGTCGGTTTTTGACATTATGTAGGTTTTTTTATGTAATAACCCTGCCGCTTAGAGGAATACGACACACTCTCTCAATGTGTTTGTTTTCCTACCTGTGAATAGGGGCATCCCCATAGGCCCTCTTGGATTTGGATCGTACATGTAAATCAAAGATGTACCATGATCTTGCTCTTCTTCCCAAATGGCTAACACCAGAGGATCAGTTACAATGATGCCGTGCGTATTTTCTTCGAAAAATTGTTCTAATCCTGAAAATAAATTATAGAAAGTGATAGGCACAATTGTTACGGGAAATGGATCCGGTCAACTTGGCCAAAATTTTAGTATGTTGTTTTCCAAATCAATATCACTAAAAGTCTGCTTGGGCGTGTGATGCTAGTATCAACGGTGTTTGATGACAGGCACAAGCTTAATAAATTCGGAAAAATCGTGAGCCTATGCAAGACTCCAAACTGATTCTGTGCTTTGTTTATTCGAAACTAAATAGTTAGTATAATGCCTATTTATTCCATCTACAGAATATGATCAGAATATCAGATTCCTGGTTTCCTCAAACCATCATAAATTATACTATATCGACTTTTTCTAGTCCTTGTCAATCTCATAGACCATATACCATTTATTGTTACTATGTACTTATAGTCTATTATTATTTGTAACGAGACCCACGCACAAGGATTTTTTAATCCTTCCATGGAATATCGATTTACTCGAAGTTTATAATTAGTGTGAATAAATATTAGCATTATTAATCAATGGAATTATTAAATACTTTTATTACAATTTTCGTGAAAAATATTAATATTGTGGAGACACCTGAAACTAGATCAAGAGTTGGCCTCTGATCACGAGCTTGCAATTGCGTCTATCATATCATTTGCATAAATCATGGGTCCACGTGCCAGTATCCAAATTGATTGTGAGACTAAGAGACTAGCAGTTTGGTGGTATGCTACCTACATCTTCCCTGCAATGTTAAAGAAGACCCGAAATTACAGATTAGGCAGCAAGAGCCTTGATTAGCTGTCAAAACGGGTTGTTCTCCTAGATCCATCCTACCCCTAAATAGAGGATGTACAAAACAGAATCGCATCAATTTCCGCCTGGAATCTGACCTTACATGTTATCTGTACAATATGTATTACATTATGTAATGCAAGTCGATGTAAGTACAGTCACATTGACGTGGTTATAAACATCATTAAGCATGTGCTAAATTGGCCTTGAGCAGACGCGTCTGCTGCGAATCATGTCTGCTGAGCTATATGATGACTTCCTTGTTTACACCAAGGAACTTAAAAGCATTACATATATCATGATTTAAGACCATGACCTGTTACGTAACATCGCAGCAAGTTGTTTCATTTTATTTATATCCATTAAGCAAGTCATAGATAAGTGGATATCTATTTTTAAGGAATAGTTCCGTTTTGGAAGATAAATATTGCTACAATAAAAAAATAGGCATCAATAATCATGGTTTCCTACTTGGTGGGATCGAATATCATTAATAACTGTAATATCAAATACACTCACGATCTCAAGATTTAATATTTACAGCACCGCGCAAGATGAACCGAACCAAGAGGCAGGAAGATCAACGACTAACCAAACTAGTATGGGAGGAGGTGCCGAAAGGGTACCACTGGGAAAATAGTGGATTTATGCATTATATTCGGATGTTACTGTAGCGCTACCCATTTTTTAGGCTATAATTATAATTTACTAGCTGTTACCCGCGACTTCGTTCAAATGAGATCGTTACTAACATAAAATACTGTTTTTAAGTGATTCTATAACTTTCAATCGCACTTTCTTTTGGGTTTATTCACCTTTAGATAAAAATGCAAATAGCTACAATGACAATGCACAGTACGCTTCTGCAGTTGATAGAAGAAGTAAAATTATGTGTTACTACCATTAGGAGCATGAAATAAAAATTGGCAGTATAATTAATTAAACTGGACCCTTAGTTCTCCCCTTTCACATAATCCATTCTGAGTTCTTAACGGACGACTTTCTGCTCATAATCAAAGCAAGTTTTAGGTTTCTAAGTAGAAAATACAAAGAACTTTTAAAATAAACTGGGAATGCCCTTAGCCACCCTCAATCCTGCAAAATAAGTTTTTAACTGATAAAGCACTTCGTTGAAAAATTTCAGATCTTTGGTAGATTTCTAGTAGAAAAAATAAGGGGCCGTCATAAAACATTGAAAATGCCCTTTAATTCCTGCCTCAAGATCCAAACTTACTGACATATCCCATACATAAAATACGCCCATCGAATATTTTTTGAGATTTCGTCATTAATGAGCATATTTCATACATCCCGTGTAATATATATATAACTTCATCAATTATAGAATATAGAACCAAAATCATCGTACCATTTATGGATCCCTGACGGGTCCTTAACTCTTAACTACCATGGCCAAAAACAGTAACATTTATACCATGGCAGGGTCAAATTTGACCCCATTGTTTTTTTTCACATAAAAAACCTAATTTTGTACCTTGTTTTTATGTTAAGGTATTTTGCTTTCAACTAGTTTTACAATTTGATAAAATAAAAGGAATATGGTTAGTTATAACTTTTTTAAAAATAAAATTCGGTTTCCAGTGAAATTAACAATGATGTGCACTTTCTAAAATTATAAGAAAAATTTTCAGTTTTCTTGTATTCAGTGGTGAATTTTAGGTATCATAGCTGCTAATAAAAAAATTGATTTAGATTTCGTACCTAAAAAATGAAAAGCATGTTTTTGACCTTACTTTTCAACTCAACTTACACAACATGATTTTTGCAAATAAATTCTCGACATTTATCGCACGATGAGCTTTATTTCTTTTGATTTTTAGAATATGACCATATTTTACACCTTCCCCTCCACTGGTTCCTGAAGTCCCGAAACTTTAAAAATGATACTACGAAGCTCTCTCGGTAAACATGCTGAGCTCTACGAGTCAAATGGCCCTTAATAAGTTCTTGACCTAAAGTGGTTAGAAATAATTTTGCGCCTCCACTTCAAGTTCTTTCTGTGTCATAGCGCGTGTATTGCCACTACACCCCGACATTTCAAATTACTCGCTACTCGCACTAGAAACACTTTACAATTAACGGGTCAAATTTGACCCTACATGTGCCTAACTCTGCAGTGGTAACAGATAAATTAATGGAATTTTTGTTGCTCAATAAATCACATACCGGTCGAAGATTAGCAGAACGCGCGCAGCGCGTCATAAATATTTTGGCAGCGAAACTTGGCATACAAAACGTGGAGGGTCAAATTTGACCCCGTCATGGTACTTAAGGGTTAAGATGGAAACACAATTTTGAAATAAGGTGCATTTGTTTCTATATGTATGAATCCATTACAAAGAGTATGCGACTTGGACTGTAGGAACATGACTGGGAGTTGGACATCTGTTGGCAGCGTTGATGAACAAAATGGGCTCTAAGCCCAATATACCATCGTTTGCTTCATCAATAGGCAAGAAATGGAACAACATCCATCTCACTTACTTCAGATTTTGTACAATGTAATTTTAGGGCCATTCAGTATTTCCTACAATTCTAGGACGCCGTTATGCATCCTTGATTTTCAAAGTATTTTCTCTCCTTCAGAAAGGCTGAGATATTTCTAGATTTCTACTAGTGTGAGCGTCAGCGCTCTTCTATTGTGAGGCTATGTCTCCTTTTTGAATTGTAGGAAATTTTTGGCTGCTATATCAGATGATATAAATCAAAAGCACAGACAAGTTGATGCAAATGGATATTTGTTGGAACGACGCCCTTAATTATTGGCCACAAGTTTTTTGTCGTAATAATATTGATATATCTTGCGCGATGCGTGTGGTCAAGAAGTCCTGGCTGTGCTGAGCCATATATGAGTGCTAATTCACGGATATCATCATCTGCACAAGATATACACCACAAAATATCTATAAGGAATTGAAATTATGTACTAATTCGACCATTAACCTTGTCTGAGGTTTAGTATATTTTCTCTCTTCGCATCAATGATTCCTTTCTGAATGGTGTTTCGTAATTCGCAGTTGGCCTTGAGAACTCCTATTGTGTAGTCGTTATTCACCATATGCACATCCATAACTCCTTCCCACGGGTTGTAGTCGTAGTCTAATGTCAACAGACTTTCTTCATAGAGCTCATGTCCTGAAATATTCCAATTTTAAACGCTATCTGCCCGGCAAAGGTATGCAAGTGTGACAATGGTGAGGAGTGCCATAGAAACTGGTGAATGTGTTGGTATCACCATATTTTATTTAATTCATCTCTTCCCAATTGCATTTGTCATGCCATGCCATGATGCCATTATAAAAGGAAAGTTTGTTGATTAGTCTTTTCACACACGTGTCTATTCTAAATAACTGAAAAGTATAACATTATAACACACTTAACACAAATAGTAATGGTCTTTAAACACTTTCCGATACTTAATAAGAATTCGAAGTTAATGTTACGTAACACACCTATTCTGTCTAACTGTCCATGTGGCATTATCTGCAGGTCTGTCAAAAACTCTTTTACCTTCCTTGTAAATATCTTTTCATTCGTACATTTTAATAGCGTTATTGTAGAGTTTGACTCCCGGGTAGTACGGGAATCTCTTGTATAAAATTAATATGTGTCTTGGGAATAAAATTGTTTGTCCAGGTGTTACAATTACGACTAGTGGTTTCAAACAATTCAGTTTTATCATTAAAAGTAAATAAACTAATGTATAATGGTTAACATTTTCTGCTCCTGTGGGGTATTTATTATCACCTAATGAGAGTCCCTCGATCGGCATTAACTATTTGCGAACCGTTTACCCTAGTGTATATTGCCACACGAGAGAGCAAGATAGCTCTTTTGAGACATTCAGCATTTTTTTACTGCATAATGCAGATGCAATAGTGAAGCCAGCAACATTACCAGCAATACCAAGACTGTGCAACATAAGGTACTATTTTTAGAAATGCTCGGGTTCATGCTTTGCTTTTCCGATATATTTTCAAGAACAATCTCAAGATTGCAATCACAACGCAAAGAAACTCAAACCAGAAGGAAAGGCTGTTTTTTTTGCTCATATCGAGTGTTCCAAAACGTTTATTTTTCGCATCAGGTAGGACGCAAAAGATGAAGACCTCTTTGGAGATAAGCAGCCAGAAAAGGAGAAAAAGCACTTCTTCCATAGGTGGAGGGGTCCTTATGAATCCAATTTATGAGGGATTCGAATTTCCAACTAAATTTCAGATTCGCAAATGTTTATAAATTTTTTTCATATGATACCTCAAAATATTAAACAGGATATTAAACGACTTTGCAAAGCAAAATTTCCATTTTCATCTTTTGATTGTACAAGTGAATGAAAGAAGGTCGTGTCATGTAATTTGGGGGCACTGAATCGAGTGGATCTGAATATAACTCAAAAAATTGTGAGTTTTCGGAAGATGGAGTTTCTGGTAAGAGAATGATGGCTTAGGAACCAGAAAAACCATTATTAAGCACCCTTGACCCCATTACAATAAAATCATTTCTAACACCAATGATATAATCTATCGCTCACTTGATTTGTTTCAGGAACCTTTTAATTTTGGAAATATTATGCCGCGACTGGAGAATGTAATAGGTTTACTACCAATTCAAAGTCTGCTTGGTATGGAGCAGAAGGTACGGCTGGAAGCATTATTCAGATCAAGCAATACACCACTTTTTACCTTCCACAACGTTTGTCCGACTCTGCCACTTTTCAGATCAAGTTTACACAATAGGTCGCTGTATTTTCTACACTCTATCGTGTAACACTGTATAATTTTTTTTATGCTTTGCTCATGCCATACCTTTACAGGTGGCCCTCTACCATGTTACTTATTCACACTTAAAATCGCGTCACCAGCTTTTGATCTTATCATAAGAAACTACATAGCCTCCAACAGACACCACAATATATTGATGAACTTCAGTGGGTAATATATTCTTTTTTCTACGCTTTATTGCGGTGATTTGCTCAACAGGTTCCATTTCTGTTAGAATTATTTTCACCAGTGAACATAAAAGCAGATGCTGATTAGGATCAATTTGTGTTCCCGTCTCTGCGATTATAACCTACCGTAATGTTCTTTCATGCTTTTTAGCAATGATCAGAGCGGTATGTTATAAGTCAGGTCATGCGGAGATAGATAACGGAAAGCAAACAAGAGAAGTGAATCTAATGAAAAACTTAATATTGCGATGTGCGAGAAATGAATCAAAGGTGATACTATGGATAGCTTCGCCCAACGCAGTAAGACCAAAAGACTTTGATGTATAAGTTTCATCTATGCAGATGATATAACTATCCTGATACCATATAAAGGAACGTCTGATATCCGAATCTTGATAGACACCCACATAAACCATATTCAAAACTGGCTGCAGATGAATAAGTCAGCATTCAACATACAAAAAACGTAGTGTGTCCTATTTCAGTCAAGCCATGCCGCCAAAGAACTACCCTTAATTAATGAACCTCTATGTATCAAAAGCGATACAAACCTCCTGGGTGTCACCTACGATAGCTGTCTTAAGTTTGATAAGGACATTGAGAGTATGGCTTCAAAACTCAATCAAGCATGCCCTTGCAAGCTGTGCAGGCTGCCTACTATGGGCTTGCGTATTCTATTATGTCTTCTCAAATAACAATTTGGGGTAATAGTCCCGCAGCCAATAGAATTTTTATCATAAGAACAATGTTCAAAATGAAACCTAGGGAGTCATGTAGAAGTATATTTAAAGTCAACCGCTTATTAGCATTTCCGGGAATTTATATCTATAACACTCTACTATTTATCTTTAGCCATAAAGAAAAGTTTGGAAAAAACGTCTTCAACCATAGTTACAATACTCGCAAAAGTCAGAAATACTTCTACCCATCACATAAGCTAAATTCTACAGAAAAATGTCCACATTACTCTGCACTGAAACTTTACAATGTTTTACCTCAACATCATCAATTCATTTCAGCATTCACTATATTAAAAGAAAGCATTCATAAATATAATATATGCGATGTGGAACCATATAGTATTGAAGAGTTATGTGCTCTAGTGAAACCGTAAGCATTAATATCGCTGTTGTTATATGTTGTCTATGAATGTTTGTTTTTGTATGTACTTTAAAATGTGTTATTTACACTATATCACACTGACGTGTTATCTCTGTTATACATTTCTTTGTTTTTTGTTTATAACTGAGAAACCAATAAATTTCTATTCTATTCTATAAACTGAATATTTGATTAATGTAGCCTAATACGATTACTTGTTTTACTGCCTACAACACTCTCCAAATAAGGAATTGCAAATGGATCAGGGATGCAGTATAGAGAACAACCTTTAGATATGACAAACAATACCTAGTTCAATGATGTCGTCGATGATAGGTTTGGACCACACACTGGCATTATGTATCAAAGACATGGTCAAAGCAACAAATGCTATAGGAGCACTCATTACGTATTGGCCTTTTCCGAATTTGGGATCTTCTTGACTTATGGTACCTCGTACAATTGTTTTTCCTAGAAAGAATACAGGCGATTATTATTCAATTCAGAATACCTCAAGACCTTCTGAGCTTCTAGTATATTTGGCTTAAATTGTACAGAGCAATTTGTTATATTTGATTACGTCCAAAAAAGCTATGTGGGTAGCTTTTGACTTCCCAACTAAAGCATGAACAGCATTTCGAATAATGCGCATTCAGTTCGATAGAAATGGTTTCAATGAAGAGCATTACAGTGGCCTAATCACGTTCAGAAATTATGGTTTCCGAACTTATGACGTGGCGTGTCCGCTTTGTTTAACAGTACAATTACGGTTGACGAAATAACTCATGAAATATTATACGGAGAACGGGTTCTTAACTTTTGTTTGTCTAAAATTCATTTTTGAATTGGAAATGTCCTCGTCTAGTCTTCGTTCGTAATAAACATGGCTATTTCAAATGTTTACGAGGAGCCTGCAAAAGAATAGAGAATAGATTATAAGGGAAGACTGTAGCGTTAGACATAAGCCTTTTCGAAAACAATCATCCAATAATGGCTGTGGTCTTGCGGCAACCCTTCAAGTAGTGAAAAGCCAAAACAAACTACGTAATGTCTCATTTTTTTGTGAAATGACTACTTTCTCAGTTGCATGAACAGATCATGCGTGACTCTGAAGTTTCTCCCAAGCCATTTATGCGAATAAATGTATATTCACAAAATCAGATGATGATTGGGAGGTACATAAAACTCCTAAGAATAAATGTTTATATGTAATTAGAGAAGAAAAAAGGAAATTCTACGATAAACAGATCGATAATAACAAGTGCGACAGTGTAAAGATGTGGAAGACTTTAAAAAGACTGATCAATTCGAAGCCGCATGATTGTTTAAATCAAGTTCAATTCGAAAACGGTACCGAAACAAATTCTTTGGTGATTGCAAACAAACTAAATGAATATTTTGTGGAAAGTATTGTTGATATTGTGGCTACTGCCAATGCTGCACCTGACTATATGAAAATCAGTTTCCAGGGGGAAATGTTGCATACACTTTCAAAATTTCACAGCGTATCATTGAATTATCTAAGAAAAAAGTAAACAGTTTAAAATCAAATAACAACTGTGCCGAAATCACTACTAAAAACGTGCTGAAAGACTGTTTCGAAATTTTGGGATATCCTGTATTAAATTGGATCAATTGTTCACTGAGAAGCAGTTCTTTTCCTGAAAATTTGAAATCCTCTACAATAACACCAGTTCCCAAAATAAAAAATTCTAAAAGAAGCAGCGATATGAGACCAGTAAATGTGTTACCAGATATTGAAAAATTATTAGAGTCCATAGTGCATGACCAATTAATGCAGTTTATAGAAGAAAACAAAATTTTAGTGGAGGCGCAAGCAGGGTTTCGAAAAAAAATTTCCACAGAAACGGCTTTCCAGCTGGTAACTGAGATTTGCAGAAGAGCCATAGACTCAGAAGGAGTTGTCATAGCAGTATTTTTGGATTTGAACAGGGCATTTGAAACGATTGATAGAGATATTTTGTTAGGTAAATTGAAGGCATATGGTATAACAGGAACTGTTTTAGATTGGTTTAAAAATTATTTGTCTAAAAGGATGCAAGTTACAAAAGTTAATGACACTATTTCATCAAAAATTGAAAATACGTTGGGTGTTCCACAGGGCAGTATCCTGGGACCACTTCTTTTTATTTTCTACATAAATGATTTACCTGCCATAGTAAAAAAATGCAAAATTCAGATTTTCGCCGATAACACTATGATTTATATAAGTACTAAAAATATTCAGTCTGGTATCTCTTATATAAATGAAGACTTGAAACTTGTCTCAAAATGGTTAGCATCTAACAGACTAAAATTAAATGCAAGTAAAACGAAAGCCTTGTTAATCGGAAAAAAACAATGTACAAATGTTCAACTGAATATTGATGGTGAAGATATTGAATTCGTAGAAAATTTTAAATACCTGGGGGTTTATGTTGACTCTCGATTAATTTTTGATATTCATTATGAAAAAGTTATAAATAAGATTAGTAGTAAAGTGGGATATTTATCAAGAGTTTCTGGATGTCTGTGTTCATATAGCAGAAAAATTATGTATAATACCATCATTCTTCCAAATTTCTTGTACTGTACGACTATTCTATATTTAGCAAATAATTCCATTTTTGGAAGACTGCAAATTTTACAAAATAAGTGCATGAGAATAATACTAAATAACGATAAATATACTCCAATTAGGCAAATGCTTAGCAAATTAAAATGGCTCAAACATTTTATCAAATATCTTGTAATGATATTCATTTATAAAGTAAAAAAATAATATATTTCCATCAAGTATATATGTAAATAATTTAACATCATCAAATGTCGACCATCATTTACATAACACCAGAAATAAAGATGAATTCCATTTAATATCTGTATTCCATCAAGGGTTGATTGAATATAATAAATTATATTCAGAGATAACAGACCAGAAAACTTTGACAAAATTTAAAGTAAAATTGAAAAATCACTTGTTAAATCTACAATTATAGGTTGCCCAGCATTTACATCATCATCATACACCATATGGCGTGAATTTACTAGTTCTAAGTTGTTTACAATTATTCTGTTTATGTAGCCAAATGAGCTAAATAAATCTTTCTACTACTACTATTTACATAATATATTGTGATTTAACAAGACACAACTGACTAAAAATTATATGAAAAATAACATGGAGCCTTAAGCGAACCTAGAACTCATTAAAATAAAGCGGATACATCACGTCATGAAAGTCCAAAAACAGTTTATTTATTGCCCAATTTCTCTCAAACTAAAGCGCATTGGACGAAATGCTGTTGGGCACTTAAGGCCTACCCATAATATTTCTTTGGACGAAATCCGTGTTCTGGTTCTGGACACACGTCGCTGTCTGTCTAAGTTAATGAAGGCTCGATGTTTTTGGAGCATATCTACAGACTTTTTAGTAATGTGTAAAGCTTTTGATTTCAGCTGTATTGTTCTTCGTAATATTCGGGATTCACATAATATACAGACAAAACCAAATATCACTGACAAGGTGAAAGAAGAAAGAGGCCACTCTTTCTAACATATATATTGCACGCTTCTCCTGCTTCTCTCTCGTACACATTGCGATAGCAGTGGTAGATGGATTTCTCTGTACATACTCGTATAACAATCAGACGATTTCAAAATAAGTTGAATGCCTCTACAAACACTGACGACAACCTAAAATATTTCTGAAAAAATCTATGACACCGTATTCTAGAGTGTACGACTGCAGAGTGAGTTCCTTATACAGGGTGTCCCGAAAAAAGTGTGCAATATTCTACCAGCAGTTTCTAGAGCTTAAAGTAGGAAGAAAAGTTTATATAAATATAGGTCGACAAACGTCCGCTAAGGGCGCTACGGTCTTTTCAAGGGCTCCCCTGGTTTTTCCTTAATATTTCCGAAACGTGTTGAGATAAAGACATAAAATTTGGGATTTGAGATTCGAGCCTAGTTTTTTATGTTGGATTTAAAAATATTAACAATTTTAGACAGCTTTGTTTGGAAGCGTATGTAACAGGGACGGACTATTTTAGCCTCAAAATTTTTGTGTGATTCTAATTTTGAAATTCAATTTTAGAATTTGGAAATTTAGGGTTTTCTTCATAAAAAAGGTACTCTTATTGAATATCGATAAATTGTGCCATTTTTGAATAAAATCAAACTAAAAAATTTGTCACATGATAGGAAATGTACTGCGAATTTAAATGAATTGTTGATTATACATAGTTAGCCATGACTGCAAACAATTTGTTATGACTTATTTTGACGTTAAGCTGACATTGTTAGCAGTTTAAAATTACTAGATTTGAATCAAAGTTTTTATTAAATCGATTTAAAATGCCAAGATTTACAGACAGAGAACTGACTGACATGCATTTTGTGCACGGGTTTTGCAATGGCAGTTCATTGGCAGCCGTAAGAGAATATCAAAGAAGATTTTCCAATCGCATAGTACATGGACGTCGAATGTTTATTGATATTTACCGGAATTTGTCAAACCATGGAAGTTTTCAGCGCATGCAGGGCTTAGGAAGGCCACTGGGAAATCATCGTATGGATATTGCTTTAAATATGATTGAAAATAATCCGCAAATAAGCATACGAAATGTTTCAGAAATTATGGATACCTATTTGATAGTTATCCTAAAAATAATAATTTTAGATAGGAAGGATGACAAGAATGCAAGGATTACATCCTTATAATTTTAAACGGGTGCATTTAACGGAAGCAGATTTTTTACGACGAATCGAGTTTTGCCAGTGGATATTAGCAAATGAAAACACTATTCCTAGAATATTATGGTCGGATGAGTCAATATTACTAGGAATGGTGCTTTTAATTTCCATAACATGCATCACTGGTCAGATGAAAATCCAAAAGTTGTTCGCCGTACAAATTCCAACATAGATTTTCATTGAACAGGAGTAATTGGGGATCACGTAATTGGGCCTATTGTACTTCCCAATCGTCTTAGTTCAGAGGTGTATCTGAACTTTCTTCAGAATGAGGTCATGGATATAATACCAGTGGATGCGCGCCAGCAGTTTCAAGAAAATATGTTTTTTCAACATGATGGCGCCCCTGCACATTTTGGACGCAATGTTCGAAATTGGTTGAATGTCAATTTTCCAGACAGGTGGTTAGGCCGAGGAGGACCTATAGCGTGGCCGCCACGTTCACCTGATCTTAATCCATTGGATTTCTATATTTGGGGGTCATTAAAAGACCTAGTTTACTCGACTGAAATTAAAACCTCAAGAAGATTTACTTCAAAGAATCCATCAGGCTGCAAATGAAATAAGAAGAAAAAGGTTTTCCACTTTTCGGGCTACGCAATCATTAGTTCGTCGAGCGAGACTGTGTATCCAACAAAATGGGAATTTATTTGAACACTTATTGTAAAGCTAGTTTTAAGTATATCCAACTGTATGTCTTCTTTTTAAACAAATATCAATTTCGTTCGTAGAAACAATTTATTTCATTTGTGTTTGCCTAAATGTTAGCTATGTTGCAATAGAAATATGTATTTATGTAATATCTACCAATTATTACATTAGTTTTTTCGTTGCCATGGCTAATAATTATTCAACAATTCATTTAAATTCGCAGTACATTTCCTATCATGTGAAACATTTTTTAGTTTGATTTTATTCGATAATCAATAGGAGTACCTTTTTTATGTAGAAAACCCTAAATTTCCAAATTCTAAAATTGAATTTCAAACATAGAATCACACAAAAATTTTGGGGCTAAAATAACCTGAGTCCGTCCCTGTTACATACGCTCCAGCTCCAGCATAAAAAACTAGGCTAGAATACCAAATTTTATGTCTTTATCTAAACACGTTTCGGAAATATTAAGGAAAAACCATCTTCAGGGGAGGCCCTTTAAAAGACCGTACCGCCCTTAGGGGACGTTTGTCGACGTATGTTTATATAAATTTTTCTTAGTATTTTAAGCTCTAGAAACCGCTGGTAGAATATTGCACACTTTTTTCGGGACATTCTGTATACGCATAGCCTTACCAGGCATAACCCTCTGGAATCCCCCAGAGGTCACTGCTAGCTTGGGCTCTGCCAGTTGTTTAGGTTCTCTATGCCTTGCACATATATCTCTCACCATGACCACCTTGTGGATACAAAAATGGTTGCTACCTTGCTTTGGCAGATTCGCTAAGAAAGTATCCACGAGTATTTTCATACCCAATGTTCTTAATATACAAGCTACACCATTCTGAGCTACGATACCGTTTGGTCCACGGTTCCTGCTGTCGAACATATAGTAGATCTTCTGACCTCTCCAAATTGCAACCATTAAATCTAGAATGGAGGTTGAATCACAATTCTTATCAATGAGCTGTAACCGTAAGGTATTGCTTTCACCAAAAGCAACCCTACGTCAACTCAACTGGACTTCAATTTACATACTAGTAAGAAGTCCCAATATAAATAAACCATTTTAGTTCTTAATAATCTAGATTGGAAAAAAATTGTGAGTACTTACAGTGTCAATTATCTAATTTGACGGACTGGTTGTCGATTGAATAAACTGCAACTGAATATCGCTTAATGCAAAGTTACATTCTATCGAAAGCAACAAATAGTAATTTACCCTTATAAAATCAGAGGAAATGTAATCAGTCGGTACCAAACGGTTTTGTGATTTAGGCGAGCCATTTGACAGTAGAATGAATTTTGAAGATCACATTACTGAAATTATGAATAGTGCTAATAGAGCTTTAGATTTTATTGTTAGAAACTGTAAGCCTATTGAAGACTTGGTTGCATTAAGAATATTATACTTTGTATATGTACGTTCCAAATTGGAATATACTTTGTTGATTTGGAGTCCTTATTATAACTGTTATTTAAATGAAAACGGTTATATCCAAAATAATTTCTTAAGCATCTGGTTTTCAAGATTGATTCAGCTGATCCTCGGCATGGGCTGGACTACTAAGTATGTTGGAAGGATTCCAAGTTGCATCCTCCTTGAGTGAAAGAGGAAAACACTCCGTCGTCTTCTTGTATGAACTTTTATATGGTATCGTTGATTTTTCAGACCTGTTATCCCACCCCAATTGTTAGTCCAAGGACAGAAACAATACATCCTTTTCTTGCACCCGTGCAAATACCAACTTAGCTTTAAAATCTTCTGTAAGGGTCATGTGCATGAACTTCAACAGAATATGCACATGATATGCAATTGAAAAAGTGATGTGCATTAAGCCTTTTCGATGTACCTTTGCATTGCAGTAGTCCAAGATTATTGGAGTTCTCACAGAATTTCTGAATACCCTTCGCCACGTTCAAAACTTCTTCATCATCGTCCTGTGCAGTAATGTCACCTGTTACTACATCAGGTTCAATAGTTACGGTGAACCATGAATTTGGAGATGCAAATTTTTTCGGAACATCCGATACAGTGAAATTTTCGTTGTCCAATAACCTGTAAGAGATTGCTCATGAATTAAACTATCAACTAATCTTATCTTCTCAAGCTCAAGCATTTTCATCAATGTCTACCTCATATGATCAGTTGCTATACTGATTACGTCATAACGTGTCGATATATTGTGTAAAGTAGCATGTTATACGGTTGATGTTTCGGTTTGTCTGTCTTGAAAGTAGCAGTTAGTTGTTTTGGTGGGGAAGTGAAATTATTTGTATAGGCAAAAGAAATGTAAAACCAAGAATAGAAAATCCCTTATACTTCTCTGTTTGACGTTTTAGAGGCTTCTGACCAATTCAGAAAAAAACTAGTGCGTGATAAAACTGTGGGTGGGGATGTTGGACATTGATATATGTATACGCTTGCAGCCCCGGTAAGTCTATTAGATATATTTCACACATCCTTGAAACAGAATGATCGAGAAACAGTTACTCGTGGCTCTGGATTTACATATGTACGAGTACCTGCGGCTGGATACGACCGATATATCATACTGGGGTGGAGGCTGCAGTGGTGCCATGACATCATTCAGCGGGAAGGATACTGAACTGACAAGAAAGTATACGTGTTCTCAGAGCAGTAGTGTATCTTTCCCCAAAACCTTTTTCTGGAGGGTGCAATCCTAACAATTCCCAAAATTGTACAGATTATTGTGCAAATTTAAGGACCCATCCGGGTTTCAGGAGGGTAACGACCCCCTAGTACCTTCCCGGGTTGGGGACTTTGAACTGACTATATGGGACTGTTTAAGGATTTGTTCCATAAAATTTTTGTTACACCTGTTCGAAGTTAACTTTTTTGCTAGAGGGGCTAATTTGTGCCGATTCTCGTTATGACCTGATGACAGAGTTGCATGGGAATTGCAGAATCAACCTACTTGACGCCAATTTTTCATGAAGACGAGACATGACTTCGTACCAAATTTATGTTATTGAAATATACTGGAGCAGCCAATACGAAAAGAGCAGCGAAACATTTCTCACGATTGTGACTTGACTTTGTCAGTTGACAGGGACGTCGCCCTGCAGTAGCATGAGATGTAATTACTGCTGTCTTCCTTTTCGGTACCACGTTATGATGTTGCCATATAACTCAATAGGTTTGTTTGGCTACGGATGCTGGCGAAGTGTCCATGGCATGTCGGTGATGGACAGCCTTTACATCAAGAGATGGAGTCAAGTAGAGTGAATCTGCATTCACCATACAACGCTGTCATTACTTCGCAAAAGATTATGTTCACAAGTTACCCCTCAGAACAAAAGAAAGCTGCTGAACATGTATACCAAGAAATACGGATACTAAATGCACGGCGCTGAGGACACGCTGTTAGGAAGGTTGCTATGGATAGAACTTTTAAACAATGGACAGGATGACCTTGTGGCTTGATATCATGGCCGCCACCCTGAGCTCTTCGTTCACAATAATCCCGACCACAAGAAATAACTTCCCACGAATATAGAGATTTCAATTGCAGCGTTTCCGACTGAGTATTAAGTCGCTCCAAAATTATCAGAGCTGTTCTACATGGTTTTACAGGAATACAGTTGAAACAATGAAGATACGTGGCATCAAGTGGTTTGTGGTGACAGTGCATATCGGCCTTTACAGTGCAATTGTTCGTCGTATAATTTTACTATAGGAATGCCATTTGTCTGAGAGATAGCTGTTTAGGTCAAGCTAAAAGCGCAGTGTTCTTAGCGTCATAGCTAGTAAAAAAAAGATATATAAAGCTCAGTGAAAAATATTTATACCAATCAATTTCATCTTCCGTTAGCTTCTTATCCACCAGTCCCATAAGTTCTCTCTTCCTAGTCTTCTTCATGAACGTGTGCAGTTTGTCTCCATAGGTCAATATGGAGTCGACAGTAGTATCGTTGAAGCACATTATGGTAAACATTCTGTAGATGGCCAATGCAGCGATACAAGTGGCCAACATTTGCTTGTCTCGGTTCTTTTCAGGGAACATAGGGTTCCAAATGTTCATGCTTCCTAGTTAAATGAGAAATATGAAATATGAAATATTAGTAGTACCATACTACTTAGAAGGAGAGCCCAATAGGCCCAATAGTTGCTTGAGCAGGGCAGATTAACATATGGAGGGATAATTTGCATCCTGTTATTTACCTCCACCATATACAAGCCCTGCGTACAGGAGTGTACGTCTTGGGCAGACGATCAGAATAGTAAACAGAAATCTATCGTTAGAGATACTCGTGCGCGTGAGATTAAGACATAAGGCGGAAATTACATGCTGGAAGGTGTTTTTCAATAATCCGAGGATTTGAGTGTGACGTAATGAAGTCACAAACTTGCAAGAAAAATAACTGACTTACAAAAAATAATATTAACAAAAAAGGTTGCAGAACACGAATACATGCTAATTTAGATATATGTTAATAATAATAAGTCTTTTAAAAGAAGATGGCATTTCTAATTTTGATGTGGTGTGTTACGCCGCCTAGGGGTTACTTTTGGAAGCGGAAAATGATTTTTAGCAATTGCTCTTGGGCACCTTCATTATAAATTTGTTTAACCGATAGCTCCAGGATGTCTGGTTACCGAGATACAGCCGGCGTCCTTTATTAATGGCCAACCGGTAAAAACCGGCGGATTATCAAACCTTCAATATCAGTGACACGTAAGATATGAATACCTGACGTAATTGAGTACTTCTTTGACACTATCTTTAACATTGTTGCCAAACTGTAGACGTCCCCCCACCGCTAATCAATAATCAATTCTTGAGTTTTTTTCAAGTCTTATCTGACACATGCTTGAAAGTTGAATACAGGAGCTTCACTTCAATTCTGATAATACCTTCTTCCGGCACACCTCAAGGGTCTGCTCTTGGCGATTGCTTTTGCAAATTTGTATTGATGGCGTCGTTATGGAGGTACACAGTAGCTAATTTCTTTATGCAGATAACTTGAAACGCTTTGTAAAATTAAAGCCATGGATAATATACTTTGCAATACGACTTAAACGACTTAACTCGATTCTAGGCAGCAGCGGTCGCCGTAGTGGTAGACGTTTCGTCTCCTGATCAGTCGCCGTGCGCTGCGAGAGTTCGAATCCCGTCCCAAGAGAAATTTTTCTCTTGGCTATGTATGTTGTGATTGTTCGTAGGTGGTAGACGGTCTCTGACTGTTTTACACGGAGGTACCATCCGACGGATCTCGTAGGCGGGGTCAGAATGTGTGCATGCTGCATCCAGACGTGTTCCCTCGCTAGAGTTCGTGCGGTGTTTCCTCTTTCCCCTGTATCCCCCTGTAGTCTCACGGTACCCCATGGGTGTTTAGGTCTTAGGCCTTCGTGGTAGGTGGAGCATAAGAAAAATAAATGCTGTCACCGTAGCAAGCTATACCCTAATGTTGATAAATGCTACACTATGTACGAGTATACTCGTATTACATGCAAAATTGCTTCAATCAGATTCAAATATAACACTGTGTCAGGAGTTTAACGACTTACATTACATTTGTTTCCCATATTGTGCTGTTGTTAGCAAGGCTTATAAAAGCTTGGACTCCATAATAAGGAATTGTAGAGATTTTGTTATGATCCTGTTGTATAATCCATTTGTTCGATTCAAAATTGAAAACTGTTCTATAATATGGTATCATGTCTATGAAGTTTACTCTAATAAAACCGAAGATATTCAGAAGCGGTTTGTGAAGTATTTATGGTACAAGAAGAAGATACGTAATCCAGAAGTTGGCTTCAGGCATGATGCATTACTTAGCATATATAACCTCTGTATCTTTCATTGTGAAATTTACTTAGTAAAGTAGTAGTATCTTATGCTAAGACGTGATCAAATTCAAAATAATGTTACTTAAGCATAACTAAAATCAATGCGTTGCTTTCCTTCCCGATAGCATGTAGCATGTAGCAACCATGAGCAAGATATGCTGTAGATTTGTTCTTTTGTAATTTGCGCAGTTTAACAAGGTTTTACATCCTAGTAGGTTAAGTCATTTGGTAATCTTAAGATATTTTTCAAACATTTTTATATCTTGACATTGATTCCTGTGTCCATATCTGTTAAATGGTGTAATAAACCGTTCGAATAGTCTATATATACAGGGTGACTTTGAAGTTGAGTCATTAATTTTCAGATAATAATTGTAGAAGGAAGATAAACCAAAATATGTGTGTAAAAATAAAAAAAAATTTTACCTTGTCTTATAAGTATCTTCCTGACAAGTACTTCAGTGCGGACCTGTGCGCCTAAAAGCATGTCACAAAAATTGCTCGAAATGATTTCCGTTTTGCTCGACGCAGAGCTGGGTTTGTTGCCAAACTCGAGCACATAATATTATTATTGAGACAGGGCGGTATTCAAACTTCTAAAGGGCTATAACTTTGTTACCTTAATTTTACCAGAAAAATATTATAGGAAAAAAACATTTCTTTTGATCAGATACTCACTGTTAAAATAAATGACTCAACTTCGAAGTCATATATATATAGTATTCATAGTTAATTGCCTTAACTGTTAGAAGAAGATATCGTTTAATTTATTTGGGTAGAAGGCAAAGTATTGCAAAAGTACACTCTTATAACTTAAACTCTCAAGCTTTCGAAGATCTACGTCTTCATCGTCTGGAGTAAGTCGGCGAGATTGTTGCTGAAATTATTTTTGAAACAACAGTGAAGGGAACACATAGTCGACGAATAAAAAACGGG